TTATGTGTGTGTGCTTTTGTGTGTGTGTGTGAGAGAGAGAGAGTTACTTGAGGAAGTTATTTTCATTGTGTTCTTGAGGAAAAAGTGCAAAGATGGATGGAATACTAGCATAAAGCAGGATTTTTCCATTTTTTTCCTAGATAACCTTTGAAAACTAATTTTGAAAGATCTCATGTCAACTCACAGCTCAATTATACAATATGCAATTATACAATATACATTTTAAATGTTTTCAGTTCTAACTGTTATATCATTCTTTTAAGTGTTCCTGGAGAAATACAAATACATGAACAGTTTAATACCTGACACTTCCATTAACAAATAAATGAATGTGCTCTTCCTAGCAGTGGGAAATTATGCTCCCCACCCTCAACAGTATATTCTGTTTTACTTCCCACTCTTGCCCTAGAAATTTATGCTGTCAAAACAGATTTTTTTATTACAAGGTTTTTCTTTTCTTGTAGCCTTCCCTCCCTCCCTCCTCTCTCTCTTTCTTTTTTAGTTTTAATAAGTTTTTTTATTGTGAAAATACTGTACAGAGGGGTTACAGTTACATGTGCAAGGTAATGAGTACATTTCTTATCAAGTATCTTTGCTTGCTTGCTTTCCTTCCCTCCCTCTCTCTCTCCTTTCCTTCCTTCCTTCCTTCCTTTCCCTCCCTTTGATCTTCATTTATTTATTTTTTTGTTTTTTCAACAATGTCTCATTATGTAGCCCCATCTGGTTTCAAAGCTATAACTCTTCTGCTTCTGCCTTTCAAGTTCTGGGATTACAGGTAGATGTCACTATACCAGACAATATTACAAGATATTTTAAATGATCCTTCAAAGAATGAGGAAACTACATGATGCATAAGAATCAAGGATTAAGGAGCCAGAAAAATAGAGAAAAGTACACCACCCGGTAAGCAGGAAGACATTTTTAAATCCCTGATGTGTTGCAATTGCTTCTATTGCTATCACACCAACTTAGCTCTCAGAAAAATCTGCAACCTGATTAAAACCTTCCATGGAACAATATGAACATTCATCAAATTTTACCTTCAAATTTTCCTGTCAAAATGACTGTCAATCAATTAGAATTTTTGTTAGAAATGAGGATGATATTGATAATAACCTTAGCAGCACTTTTGAAAGATACACTAAATCTAAGCACTAATTATATTTCTACCTATATCAACCTATTCATATAGCTACTACCAAACCTAGAAATACAAATTACAGAGTGAGTTACTGATATTACAATATTAACTTTCAAGACTTATGACCAAATTATAAAATGTATGTTAGGCACTATGATTACCAAAGTTTACCTGTGAAGAAATCAAGGGACTGCTTTAAAAATTTAATAGTTATTGGAAGTTTCAAAGGTTAATAGTTATTAAAAAGTTAATAGTTTGAAAGCAAACTGGGCAACTTGTTTGGGGAGTCTATATTCCATAGCAAAATATAAGATTGTTAGATTTTTTATTCATTTTTAGACAAAGTTTGTCCAAAATTAAAATATTAGCAATGCAATTCTGCTTTTGTTATAGTGAAATCTTAACTCAGGGTTTTTACTCAGTAGACAGGGATTACTACTGTAGCCATATCAGACCTGAAGCCATTTTACTGTGATTATTTTTCAGATAAGGTCCTATTTATTGCTGGGCTTTCCTGGACCATAACCATCCTATTTGGGCTTTCTGTTATATCAGGATGATAAGCACTCACTACCATGCCCAGCATTTTATGTTGAAAGTGAATGCTCATGAACTTTTTTGCTCAGACTGGGTAGCAACTGTGATTTTCCCAGTGTTTACTTCTGGAATAGCTGGGATGGCTAAAATAATCTACCACACCTAATGAAACATGTCCTCTAATGATATTTTTAAAAATAACTATACTACTAAAACTTTACAATAAATTAAGGAATTCTTTATAGATGCTTTTTTTATTTAGACAGAAGACAAAAACATATGGCTACAAGAACAGAAGATAGAGTATGGTATGTTTACTTTCACATGATGGAAATAAAACCTTGAGTCAAAAAATGACCAGAAAGCAGTAGAATGAGTGACCTTAGAGTTTATTTAAGACAGCCTTCTATTTATGTTTCTAGATTTAGATCAATCTCTAATTTTACAGATGTGGCAAGGCAAACTTCAGGCCATTTATGTGACATGGTAGAACGAAAGGAGTGATACAAACCAGTCCTATGTTGGTCATTATATTTCATACCCCCAGTTTCTTGTTTTCTCTGGCTCTTGTAGTGGGTAGACAGTTGGAAATCACTGACATCATGGAGAGATGTATTTTGCTGCCTAGTACTGGACCAAAACTAACCCACTCATAGGAGTACTCTTAAAAAAATACAGAACAAAACCACAAGCCAAAATTAAGTACAGACTTGAGGGGAGTTTGCAATTAAGTCAAAGTCTTTTGCCTTCTTTTTTTTATTACCTTAATGTACTTCCCACTGAGCTAACCCAAATAGATTCACTCCTGCTTCTCTAATGTATCCATGTTGTTTGGTGGGAAAACTTTCATTGTGCCCTGCTGTGAAAATCTTACCGAATCTTCAAGGAGCGGGCACTGTTCACATCATACCAAGATACTTTGAAGGACAAGTATAATTCTTCTATAGTCATAAATTAGTTCTCAGTAAATAAAGAATTTCTAGACATACACAAAAACCAAAAATTTATAACAATGCTATTTCCTTCAAAATCATACAGAAATACAGCCAAACAAACATAGTTCTAAAGTTCAAGTGAACAAACAGCAAAATGGAGCCTGCAATGACAGTTAATGTGATTGTTACATAATTTCTCAGGAAGTTAATTTCTTATCTTGGAGTTAAAGTTTCAATAAGGTTACTGAACTACAATGATAATTAGAAATAGATTCTTCTGTCATTAAAAATAATTCAGTCTAACCAATGACATTTCTCTGATTTTTTTTCTCTTTCCTAGCTCTAATTTATCTTTCCAGTTTCTCAACTTGAGAAATGACTATGTCAATAAAACAATATAAAATACTTGAAGTTAGAAGAATTAAACCATTCCAAATCACATCCTTTGTGACTGGGAACTTTAGTCATTTCGTTTCTAGGTCCAGTCTTTAGATTGGAGCAGCTTCAGTCATATCACCCAGACTTTGATCTAGAATGGACCTGATAGGAGAATGATAGCAGAATCTGCTAATTTCAGACTTAGAAACTAGAAGCTGGGGAGGAGTTAGTGAACTGTCTTGGTCTTAAATTCTGCAGCAGTGGTCAATGAGCTAAGAATAGGAACTTCTCTTCTCAACCTCAGTTCAGTGTTCCTTTTATTAGGTTAGAGTTAATCCTTGCAGGATTCAAACTAACACACTGTCAAACTGGTTCTGCGTCTCTGTTTTATTTTCCATTTCTTGAAAGATGATTTTTCTTAACTTCTATCTGACCAGAATTTAAATTAATTTACACTTTAAATTGTACTTCTTAGAATTGAAAGTTAAAGCATACAAAACAACACTAAATTTGAACAAAAGAAAAACAGTACCTATGTTCCAGGAATCCTTTGAGTTATAGCCAATAGTGAGAAAAAAAATTTAAATTGGGCCATTCACTTTTTAATCCACTTCCCTTTATCTCTTTTGAACTGCCATTATGTTTTACAAGTTGTAATTGGAAAGATACTCTAAAATATGTAGCTATCTCCCTCTTCTTGTCCACATGAAGACATGGCTAGCACATACAGTAGCTGGCTCACACTGGGTCTTCCTTAGTATATGTTCCCCGCCCCCATTATGTGTACTTCCCTAAGTGTCTTCATCAACTAAAATTGGGACTTTATAAAACTTGATCTGGCACGACATCATATAAAAGAGCTCAAGAAGAAAAGTCCAGCTGTCAGATATAAGGAGATATTTTGAGCCTCCAAATCTTGCTATTAGGAATCATGAGTCATGTGAAATGAAATGTACAAAGGAAGCTGACACATAAAAGGCCAGAACAATGATGAGTTCCTGGAGATAGGGTGCAGGACAAAGGACAATTACAGAGTGACTATTTTGAGGTCTACAGTATGACTTGGGAACTTAAATGTCATAACATAAGAAAGAACTACATCACAAACTTCTGAACTTAAGGGTAACTTAGTAGCCATTATTTTCATTAATGGTATTATAGTTTATTAGAAGGCTATACTTCTCAGTCTAAAAATCAGTTATGGTAGGAAGTTTGATACTTTGTAAGGAAGATGGTTGTAGGATGTGAAAACAACTGTATAATTTATGTATTATTTGTCATGCTACTATGATGCTAAATACACACAAGAAGACATATTTGTCTGTAATAGCAGTCTTTTTGGAAGTACCAATACCCTAAGACTACCAGCACTGAAACTGAAATGGCTTTGCCAAGCAACCTTAAAGAGTGTTTAGAGTAGTTTAAAATTTTAAAACAACTCACCTTCCATTTTCCTTTTCCCTTATCCTTTTATATTCCTGTTATGAGAAAGTTTTATCTCCATTGACAGATATCTAATAATGATTGTGAATCTGAAAATTAAATAACTCTACAGACAGAAGATATTCTATTCAAATGAATAATGTATCCCTGTTATCTTACAACATTTAACCTGATGTCTTTTCTATATGGAATTGTGATCCTGATAAGTAATATATATATATATATATATATGTGATATCTGTGGCTTATTAAATTACCAGTGTTACTAAATTTGTTCTAGCACATTCAAATAAATTTAATAAGTCCAATCATCTAGACAAAGCAACAAGAATACAGTAATAATTCTCAAGGAGATGATCTTGAAATCTGACAGTCTTTGTCCATTGCCTTTCAAGATTTCTGTCTAATTAAAAGTTAATTATAAAACATACTTTGCAGTCTTTCTCACTATTGGTAATGTGCTCTGAACACCCCTGAATGAAATGTGTTATTGGAAATGTGTGATTGGAAATCCAACATGTTACATCTATCTGGTCATGAATATGCTTTTGTAGTGTCTGCAATACCTGAAGGAATGCCCGTCCAGAGTGTTGATAGGTGGCAGCACAGGGGCTTGGTGTATCATCGTAGGTTCCTGGATGGTAAGAGAAGATTCTTGTGAACTGGGTAATATTCTTAGTAGTTGAGAGGATTGAACAGAATTGAATTTACACGTAGTATCTCTCTGTTAAAAACCATAGACATTGTATTTTATTCTTCAACTTTAGATCTGGTTATATGTATGAATAAATTGTATTTTCCAAAATCAGCTAGGAGCTGTTGAAGAAAGCTAACCACATGATACATTTTTTAAAGGCCCTGAAGAGATTCTGCTTCTAGATCGTTGCCCATCTAGGAAAAGAAAAACAAAAATGGAGTCCTACTGGGATTCACAAGTTATACAAGGCAGAAACTGAAATACATTGCCATTTAAGGTAAAGATTTTTCAGTTCCCCTCTCCAGTCACCTACAACTATGTATCAGAACAGTTGAATGAGGACAAAAGAGTCGAGTATAATTAGGCTTCATTGACAGAGACTATTAGGCTCCTCTAAGAAGCCAATAAATCAAAGTAGAGGATCCTGAAATCAAAATAAAAGAATACTGAGGTTGTCACGTAAATTGTTAGTTCCTTCCTTTCCATAACATTTATAAATCTAGGTTTTCTTAACCCAAATCATAAACATACTTTAAATAGTACATTGAATAGGAAGACAGGAGGAGTTAAACCAGACACATTTAGGTACCAACAAGTTATCCTGGAAGTAATAAAAGATGTCTTCGTAATTGGTACACTGAGGGACACAAACATGTAGAGAAGAGGTCTGCTGGTCTCTCCTCTTCAAGATTTTAGTACTGGGAAGAGATAGAATTGATGTCTGCAGGGCTTGAGCCTCTATCCTGAGGGCTGGGAGACCTCTTTGAGATTGTATTATTATGAAAAAACAACACACAAATAAATATATAAAAGTCCAATGGTTAAAAAAAGAAGGCTATGAAAGAAAATAAAGCAGGCTAAGATAGTCTAGGGAGAAGGGTATGATGATCATGGGAAATCTTTCTGAATAAGTGGAGTTGAGCATTGACCCAGATGAGGAAGTATGCTAACATTGTTCATGAGAAAGTTTGTTCCAGAAGGACTTGAATCATTCTGAGGCAGGAATAACTTGACTCACTCCCAGTATGGCTAGAGAGTTGACATGGTCAGAGTAAAGGTGATCCAGACATGATCAAAGAGGAAAACAGAGGCTAGATATGAGTTTTAACACTCCTTACACAGAAGATGATAGTAACAATTAACCAATTGCTAAACAAAGACTGGCTGTATACAAATGCACTTATCTTTCTAGGCCCCATTAAAAAATATCAAAGTACTTAGCGCAAGATAAAGAGATTACATACGTCAGATTACTTTGCCTGGGCACAACATTCGGACTTACAACTCTTCAATAGTGTCAAATTTGTGTTTGAGTAATAGCTTATTTCAATTACTTTATAACATAATTTGGAATATTTTGTTGGTCTTACCTCATAAAACATCAATTTACACTATGCCTAACAAGAACCTGAGTTGCTGTCAAGGTTTTCTATAAGTCAATAGAAATGTTTAGGTACATACTCAAAAGCACTAAGAAAGATGATTAAAACCAAGCTCTGTAATAAAATCTCTGTAAAACAAAAATTGAATTACTTTTTGAAATTAGTTTGTAAAATTTTATGCTTTGTTATATTTTAATAATTATGTTATTATCTTTATAAACTATTATATGTTATAATTAGGATTACAAACTGGTCATACTAAAGAGAAACATGTTTTTTTCTTAGTAGAAACTGTATATATTTAGAATCAGGATTTTTCTGCAGGCTCTATGTGAGGAGCAACCCTTTTATTCTCAGGCATTCAGTAAGGTCATAGTTGTCATTTATTCTGTGTAATTTGCATATTTATATATGGCATTCAGCAACTTCAAAGCTGAAGTTTATTTTGTGCATTTTTTCCATCTTGCAAGAAAATTCCCCATTTATAGAACTGACGGATGCACATTCTTAGTGTTTTCTTCATGACTTTAGAAATTCCATTTTCAACCCAGCCAAAAATGTTATGGAAAAGTCTTTCGACCATTTTGGTGGTTGGTATGTGAAAAGGGTCATCTTCTGCTATCAGCAAACTTATCAGGGTATTAATTTGGGTTATCAATGTGTTTTATATATATATATATATATATATATATTTGTTGTACTATATACCAGTATATACTAGCCACTATCTTTTCATGAAAATATCAGTATGTATAAAATCAAATTATAAAGTAAAATATATTAATATTCAATAGGAGGAACAAAAGAAATATAAAATCATATTAGAAGTCATAAAGATACTTAGATAAACTAAAAACAAAAGAACTAATTGTTGTTCCTAAAGTGATGGGACAGGAAAAAAAAATCAAAACCAACTAAATCCTGAGAACACTGAACACAAAGTGGGATTAGATGAAATATAGAATGCTATTACCTTCATAGTATTTTAATATGTAAGAAATACTTTTTCTTACAATACTAAAAGAAACTCAATCATAGTCAAGAGATTTGTAAGCTTCATAAGCTATTTAAAATCTATTTAGCTGATTTTTAAATGATACACTTGACAGGAATTATTCAGTAAGTTATTTTTATTTTTCAAAGGGAATTTTCATAGATATTTAATGAAGATTTTATATGAAGAGAAATAGAGTATGTCACAAATTATCTACATTTATGTTCATGATGAGAAATGTTACTTATATTCTCAGTTTTCAGGACAATAAAACATTCTTTCCTTTTCATGGATGATTTAGTAAAAGAGAGACAGTTGTTCTTTTAAATAATTATGAACTAAATGGCTTTACCCATAATTCCGAAACATCAAGTCACTGCTACCCAATTAGAAACAAATGTTTTAGAAGAAACGTTTTAATTCATTTTACATGTAAATTTACTGTGATTCATAATCAGGGAAATGCAAATTAAAACCACAATGAGATACTATGTTACACCCACCTAAATGGCAAAAATTAGGAAGTCTGACAGTAATACACAATACTGGAAAGAATATGGTACAATAGAAACCTCATGTAGTATTGGTGAGAACATAAATTGGTACAAGCACCACAGATTGCTGGGTTCTGAAATCCTTGTAGTAAATACATTCCCTGAAGAAACTCAGAGACACATGTGGCAGGAGATGTACAAAAAAAGCCATTTATGGATTCTATGTATCTAATAACCAATGGTAAAAAAAATCCAAATGTCCCTCAGCAAGAGAAATAATAAAATCTAATATATACATACAATGGAAAATGGACCAGTAAAAAAAAAAGCACAAGTACAAAGTTAAAAATGATGTATCACAAAAACAATAATGCTGCATAAAAGAAGCCAGTCTCCAAAAAAAAATGTTTCGTCCAATTGCACATTCATAAGAGAAATATTAAAACCAGTAGAACTTCCATGATGTGTTGCTTAGAAACACATGTACATATGGCAAAGTCATAAGGTAAGACAAGGGAATGATTTGTACAAGTTTAAGGTAATGGAAGTAATTCTGTGCTTCTATGTGAATATTTCAGGGAAGAATGTAAGTGACTAACTGGGTTCCAGACAAACAGATACTGCTTAAACTATGAATATATGTATATATAATATATACATACATATATATGTACATTTATGCCATACATAATTAATCAATCTACCTATCTGTCCGGTGGCTCACGACTGTAATCCTAGCTACTCAGGAGGCTGAGATCTGAGGATCGTGGTTCAAAGCCAGCCCGGGCAAGAAAGTCCGTGAAACTCTTATCTCCAATAAAAACCACCAGAAAACCGGAAGTGGCGCTGTAGCTCAAGTGGTAAAACACTAGCCATGAGCTGAAGAGCTGAGGGACAGCGCTCAGGCCCAGAGTTCAAACCCCATGACCGACAAAAAAAAAAAGTTAAATTTTGGAGTTTTATGGAACAAAAGGGTGAATATAATTGTGTATTCTAGAGTTATATATTTTAGATCTGTAAATCAAAACATACAAAAAATGAGCAACTATGGTTTGTACTTATAATAGTAGCTCCTCAGGAGGCTGAAATATGAAGATTGCAGCCAAATCCAGACCAGGCAGGAAAAGTCCATAGATGGTAATCGCTAATTAACCAGCAAAAAGACAGAAGTGAAGAGTGAAGCTATAGCTCAAGTGGTAGAGAGCCAGTCTTTAGCCCTTGTGCATTCATTTGAAGCCCCAGTAACCACCCCCCTGCCCCCCCACACTTACACACTGAAAATAACATGTAGTGGGGATAAGTAGAGGGATGTGGGTGGGACATGGACCTGCTTCAACACAGCACTGGTCCACTTTGAAATTTTACTTTCTTTTTCAGAACATTAAACTTAGAAATCTTATGAGATTTCACAGTTTTTGCAATATGAACAAATGATACACTTGGAATGATACAAATATAATTTATGTGCATGAATGCCATTATCTCAGATTACTTTCTTAGTGATAAGCATAGAACTTTTATATACCAATCTTGACACACCCTGTAATCAGTGTATGCATATGTGTACTTGTGTGCATTTCCATATGTCTGTTGGAGGTGCGGGGGTGTTACTTCTGACTCTAGTCAAAGTGGAAAGGGTCTGTGAAGTTGTATTATGGGTTAGTACAATGTTCTCAAGACTTTGAGATTAGAATGAATTAGATGGGGAAAATGTGCCCCTGTATCACAGAAGGAATAATTCTCAGCTGAGAATTAAAAGAGTAAGTATGGTTACATGTGTTATTAGTTACAGGTAGTACAGTGTAAAAAAAATACTTAATGTTTAGTTATTTTAAGACAATCTCTTGATATGCCTGTTCATCCTTCGATTGTAAATAAATTTGAACTTATGTGTTAGTATGATTTATCCTGACTCTTACGATATCTGAAGTTTAATAAAGAGAAAATCACTTTAAAGCAAATATTGATTGCTTCAGTGGAACGCTGTGTGTGTGCTGAACCACTTCAGACTGATTTGGTAGGTTTGCAATGAAGTATTTCATTTTATCAAACAGCCCTGGTGTTTTG